TAATTACAGACAATGAGAGATTTACAACCTTTTATATATTTCTTACGTTAAATGTTTTAGTATTATGATTTTTATTACCATATTGACGTGATTAGCTGTTCTCGTCTCTGCCCGCAATAATCACTTTAAATATGATATTTGTATATTCATAGAGGTTCTACATCTCAGTGAACCTTATTTGATGATGATTAGTTGAAAGAAAATATAAGGAAGCTGAATGTGATGCAAATAACTTAGTATTAATTTCTTTGACATAGGGAAGCGGCGATACATTCTCAAATCTCTGCTTTAAGAAATATATAGAACATCAATTCCTACAATCCCGTAAATATACTTTCATAACAAATGTCAACCGACATGAAACAGAATTCCCTACTTCCCCTCAACTAATCTCCAATTGTTGAATATAAACGTATTTCTTTTGGTGGAAAAATCACCTTGAAATCCTCTAGCCTACTTAAATAGTATAATGAATCAACTCTAATAAAGAAGACAGATCTTAAAGGGATTTTTTCTCAACCTATTGTTATCAGCTCCATTAAAGAATGTATCTAATAAAAATTATGTTGCTACATAAATGTGAACATATATGTCTACCTAGTGTATCAGATATTACACTCAATAAAATTTATAAACCACAGTGTATTTTTTCTTTCTTATGACTAATTAAAACAAAAATTTATGAATGCAGTAGTAGTCACCTTGACATCATTTAAAATCAACCATATTAATTATAATTTTAAAAATAAGATGATATAAGTTTATTTAGAAAAACAGATAGAAACTATCTGTTTGTAACCCTTCAATGAAAGGTTATTATTGAGTAATTTTTCTTAATTGAATTATCTTAGTCGGTTTACAGATAATTAAAGCTGTTCTTTACTAAGAGTTACTAATTAATGCAATAAACATATTGTAGTAAAACTGAAGGCAAGAAATGCAATAACGTTTCAGTATGTAGTTAACTATTAAAAAAATTAATGTCAAGTCTGGATTTGTTCTATTAGCCATCACAAAAATCATTGTTACGCTATAAATTTTCTTATATAATGCAGGGACCGTATAGTTCACCGATAATATCATTCACTGTTATACTAAGTGAAGCAGGTTCGAATATGATCCGGTGCATAAGTTCTTTTAAAATTATAGGTATGTTTTGCTGATGATAACTTTCTCGTTAGTAGACTAGGTTCAACTTTGTATTCTTAACGATAGTCTCTGATCATTTAATATCGTAATATTCTCTAGATACTGAAGAAAAATGTATTCCAACTAGTGTAAATTGTGATGTCTGACATCATGCTCAAACCTATTTGCGTTATAGGGCGAAAGATCATCTGGTAGTAACCAGGGCTACATCTACCCTTAAGTTCTACAAGTTCTATGGAATATCAGCAGTGGCCCGAATGGCTCAATGATAATGAGCTTGGGTGACATGAGTTAAAATCGTACAAGGAACATTATGATTTAAGGTTGGTCTGAATGACGAGTGCAAACTAACATGAAACTTAAGTTCAAAATTTCCTACCGAATACAAATACGCGCAATTACCTAACATTTCAACATAGTGACCTGATATCGAGTTACTTAGATCAAAAGCCAAATTGCTGCTTCATCCATAGAATTCGATCAACTCTAATGACTAGACAAAGATGACATTCTTTATAGGTACCAATACCAAGGTTGGGCTTGACAGTTTCAAATAAATAAACTGCATGTTCCTCAGTAGATTATTATTAACCTCGTGTATTAGCTAAATCGAACCAAAATAAAAATCATGAATTTTCAGTTCTGTAACAATGAACTAATCAATTATGTACTACAAAAATATTCATCACAGTCAATAAATAAACGATGTATTAAGGCCTTAGCAATCAGTGGGAATGATTGGAGTAGGATTCAAACTTAAGATCTCTGGGTCACCATGTCTGTCTGGTTGTTGACTAGATATTTAAATTCAGTCGCCGCGTGTACGGTGTAAATTGGCGGTAAATAACAAACTGGATTTCATCAAATAGAAAGAACACTCAATCGACACTAAACATGTACATAAATCAACTTTTTTCTAATCAGTTTGCTAAAATAACATACTGTTTCACAATAATGAAATTCAGTAAAAATCCTTGTCCTTTTGAATTGTGGTATAACAGCTATAGCAAATTGAAATCCAAGTCTTTTTGTATACTTATATTATATTTGGTAAACTTTTTATCTCAACAATACGAAAGTAACTGATAAATATTTAATCCGTTCCATTGGATCATTCTTTTGCAGTATTAGCTACTAAACTATACTCACATTGACTGCATGAGTTTTTTATATCACCTTAACAGTCGGTTGAAATTGTTTTATGTAAGTTGACAACATTACTGATACTTTATATTTTAATGTCAAAGATCGATATCATTTCTAGATAAACATCAAATCAAAGTACATGTTTATGCTTCGCAAATGTATATTGACTTATAACTCTACGAACTTGTAAGTTCCACATTTGTTTACATTTGTGCTGAAAATGGATTTTCCCACTTGTAGGTGTTTGGTTGCATTGAATATATATATATATATATAACAAATAGATAGGTAGATATATCTAGTCACTGATTACTTTATTACAACTTCAGGTCAGTAGTCAATCGATAATTATTTCTCTAAAGTAATTACTTACTTCAACAAAAACGATTATCATAATGTTAATTATGAAAACATTTTACAAAATCCTTTTAACTAATTTGCTAGTCATCACTTAATTCTTTTGTGAAGATTTGACTAGTTCAATAATCATTGTATTTATAATGTTAATAATTATGGATTATCATTTGTTGTTATCGTGCTCTATGTTGAAAAATTTTATCTAATTTAAAAACACCGGAAGTATGAAAAACTCCTAAATCATAAAAATATTTAAAATGTGATAAACTCATCAATAATAATAATAATAATAATATTTTCATAATTAGTCAATATTACATCATATTGATAACTGGTAAGCTAACATTTTACGTACCTTCAGTGTACATGCACAGTATTTTTTAAAACCATTTACAGGTACTTTCTTTAGCTTTGATATAGATATTAGTCAGCAAATCATTGAAAATCAGAGTACTAGCTAAATGCTTTCTTTTAGTTTAAGAGACCTGACCAGAGGACACCCATGTTCTTCAACCTCAACAAACCTAGGGCTTTCAAATATCGTTACAAGCACTATGGCTTTGTCGATTTCAGTTGGTGTGATTCCCCGGTGGTTTAGTTGGCATTACTTAAAGCGGAACAACTAGTGCAAAACATGCAGGTCATAGTTTTAGTTTCTTACGGGGTTGTGGGAGTGCATCGATGAGCAGTTCAAAAATCTAGAACACAAGAGTTTTTCAGTACCAGATTTTAAAACTGTTATAAGTTAGTAAAGAATAACAGTCCTTGGTTTACTTCAACATAGAACGTTGGATTATATTGATGACTATTCCAAAACAACATTGAATTAAACTACTGGTTTACCCTGGTTTTTCAATTAAAAGCAATTTGTGATGGAAATTTCTATTGATTTGTAGGAAATCTTTACAAAAGTTGTTAAACCAGTAAAAACATTTTCCCCATTATGAGCAAGATAGTATTAGTTGAAATATTTAACTTATAATGAACACTTATAATAATGATAGAAAATAATTATAACCGTATTTTTACCCAAGAATAGAAAAAGTTATATGCATTCTCAGTTAGTTGTAAGAAAACGTTGTCCCTGAGTAAAATGCTTATATTGGTTCGAATTCCTTGATATCATATTAGCACAGAGAGAAAGAAATGGTTTTGAAATATTTCAGGAGATATATATACCACCACTAATCAACAAAATCACTGTATAAAATAAAGGAATTACAACTATTATGATGTAATAAAATAATAAAAAATTCATAGGAGAAGATTAAGCAAATTCATTTCATAAACTGTGTCCCATATACTCATTAAATTTATCCATAAAATGTTTTACAAATGTGTTTTTTTAAATGCATTCTAATACAAGTTCAATTTATGTAGAAGTGTAAATAAGATAGAGAGGCTATAATCATATAGAACATGTGAAAATAGTTAGTTTTATATATTTAAAGAAATTAGTTTGCATATGAAATGCATTGGTATAATCCTAAACTATCTATTACTCTGACTTTTTTAAAGCCTGTTAAAGGTGATATATCACCAGAATTCCATGAATGCAAATTCTTTAAATCACAATCCCTACCTCAAAATCTTTTGCTCCATCTAGAATAAATTAAATGAAGTCGTAATTAGAATAGAAAAATATTCATTCAAAAATACTATGATGTGTCAAACAGTAAACGATTGATCAACACAGACAATCAAAGACTCAGACTAACCGCTTTTACTTCACTTTTTGTTAGTCATCTCAACTTTGTCTACAGTACTAGAACTTACGAATGAAATTTCAGCAGAATGCTTAACACTTAACTACTCAGAATAACATAACAATTTCCTATCTTATATTCTTTGAATTTGCCAGTGAAGAAAGTTTTATAGTAATAATTGTGTTTTAGTTATTTTCATCTACAAATGTTTTCAACCAGTGTTTCACCTCTGGTACCTTTTTCTATTGCGTAATATATATGATGTATCGATTTCATTGTAACTCTTCGTCTCTCTATCTAATAAACAATGGGGAAAATGTACCTACGATGGTCGCAGTTATGTTTACATTTTTGAGTAAATGATTTTATAGTGGGTTACAGTCACTTTATAAGAGCAGATGAGTATATGAAGTTAGGACATATAAGTAGTTATTTAAAGCAAGTGTAAAACTTTGCTATAAGCTTTTAACAATGGAAAAATAGATAACACAGATGTTTGAGCAGGCCACGAAGTGATTTCCACATTCAAAGTGTGATGCTTCAGAATTGAGCGTCTACGGATCATTTAACCATCGCATCGAATTCAAGTAAAAATGTAATCATACAGAAAAAAAAGGACTTTTGTGATTCTTAACAACTTACCATGGTATCTTGATGTTTTTTATTCTGTAGTACCACACAAATAGGTACTTCAGCTGTTGTTGACAAAACACAATGTAACGGAATCAACGCTTGTCCCATGAATCTAAATAAAAATATAATATATTGTACAAACAGTTTATCTTCATTCCTCAGGACAAAACTGAAATGTTGCTGATGATAACTTATTTAATTACTGCAATCTCAAAAATCTTATGGGTTCAACCAGTTAATTGTCAATAGATTGAACTCTCAAAGTGACATACAAACATGAATCTACCGCGATTTGATGTTTAACCACAACCGTTTGTGAAGCCAGCTTAATTACATCAATTTGTTTAGAACGACAGAAATGCTGATCTGAGAAATCAGTTTAAATACAGACAAATGGTAAAAAGAGACAGTTTTGTTCACGTCCACGTCATAAATCGTTTACTAGAATAAAACAGTTTTAGGTTTATGCTTACGTCACAGACAGACCGTACAAGACATAACATAGGTAATGATTTTGCTGATGGTGTTATCTATGGTGCATATGAGAGTTATAAAACCGTAGAATATGGAGACCATTTTTGAACTAATATCACTTGAAAACGAGTGAGAAAACATTCTGAAACTCCTTTCTAAAGTAACCGACAACTAAATTTAATGTACTGTCTATGACAGACGCAGTTGGTTTTTAATCAAGGTTTTTCATTTCCCAACTTTATCTATTAAATGACGGCTTCTTACTCCTTGGAGTTTTTGAAAACAGTGTCATGTCAAAACGATCAATATAACTTATTCGGTAACGGGTTATAAATATCCATAAGATTTATCATCCATATATATATATATATATATATATATATATATTGCTTACTTGTCTGGTGTAACTTTGTCGAAATCCATTACTTTGATCAATACGTTGTCCGAAGCAGCTAAAGGCTTTCCTTTTAAATCGATTATTATTTCCTATTTGATACAAAAATGAGTTTGATTGAATGTTTAATTTTGTGGAGTAATTATTATCTACCTCGTTCCATATCGGATTTAAATCGTCATCAATAACTTTTGTTTTCTGTTTTTGTCCTAAAAACATGGAAAATAAGTACATAAAAATATGTGGTAATTGTTTGTTGATTAGTTGATTTGCATTGTTACATAAAATATTTTGAAGTTGGTATATGGGTTTGATAAACCTAATAGGTATGACTGACAAGTTTGTACATGTTATTTGCTCATAAAATCAAACTAAAATACGTATCAAACAGACTTCAGAGGATAGAATTCAATTTGATACTTATGAAAAAATTCAACTAGGAACGTTTTTTACTTAATTATCAAGGATAAAACTGAAGATCGCTGTAGTAATTCAGTGCAAATTAGTAGGGATCTGAATAAAAACAAATTTCAACCGATATTGGCTACTCTATATCGTGCAAAATTACTCACTGGTTTCAGTTAATCACAAAATATCTGAAAGCTTTCAATATGACTATAAAAGATTTAATGATGAACCAAATGTTAAGGTGAATTAACTTAAATCGGTGTCTTGAACTCAATTGTATGTATGCTATGAAGCTATAGAAGCTATGGGAGGTGTTAAGGTTAACAGAATGATATTTTTCGATGAGGAGGAAATTTTACTTATTAGGATTTTTAAGTGGACATCAATCATAAATGTTAGGATTTTGACCATTTACATTCACAATATGCTTATATTAATTATATACATCAAACTGAGAGTAATTCAATAAAAATGAAAGACAACAGCAAAAAAGCCAACAGCTTTTTGTTCGTAAATGTATCTTTGAATTATCTAATGAAAAACAGACTGGTAGTATACACAACTATAGAGGTGTGACTTCGTTGTTAAGGTACTATATTTTCAGTCATCAAGCTACGGATGCAGTTCATAATTTGCATAATTCACCAAAATAGCCTGTTCATTTTATTATAAAATATCCAATCTGGTAACTGTCGATGTGCTTGTTTTCAATTATCACTAATAATCACTTCAAGTATTCCGAGTACTTTATCTTCCCTCTTTCAATTATTTAGTTACGCATTCGATGTTACTTTCATAATTATTTATGAAATTACAACATTATTATTTAACTCTACTGTTCGATTATCAGTATTTCATCATTGTAAATCACATATACATTAGTGTAGAGGTTTGGTAAAAAACCAATTGAAGTGAGGTATTTCACCGTTAGGTTTGTCTTTCAATTCTATTTGAACAATCAAATAGTATCACTAATCTTCATGCACAAAATGTATTCCTAAAATTCAAGTACTTAGCTACTGAATTATATTAACAATGTATATCTCTATAAAATGTCAAAAATTAAAAGTACTGCGTGAGTGGACACTTTTTTAACTGAAATTTTCTTTTGCATACATTGTATCTTTGACGTTTAAATGGGGATCTTCGAATAGATAAAAACTACAGTATAAATAGGCTTTTGACTATAATTATTGATGCTATGTTGGATGAACGGAGGTAATTGAGAGAAAACTCTGAACCAATACTTCGTAATAGTTGATTCTTGCCAGCAAAGAGTAGTTTCAGTTTTGAGGTTAATGACGATCCCTGCTTCAACCATCTTTGGTTCAAAATGCTACTAGCAAATAAGTAATCTCTTGTATGACGTATATTTACATCAATTGATCACCCAGTAGTGACCGATATCCCACTTGTCTAATCATTATTGCTAATGAGATTCTATAGATCAATTTGTAATATGGTCTGATTAATTCGAAAATTCACATTTCAGGAAAAATTTATCAACAATTTGATATTCACCAAAACAAGTAAACGTTGAATCTGTCAGTAATTATTTTTCTTAAATTTTTATTTATTTGGCCACTTATTCTTTTCAAACAAATACAGACAATCAATACGCATATATTAATATATCCCAGAGTTATTTAACAACAAATTTTACACTTTCATCTTTGTTTACTTGTTTTTATAACAAAATAACACAACACACAAAAGAAGTATTAAAGAAAATTATTTAATTATTCATTTTTACTGCAATGTCCTGATTTTATCAATAACAATATCTTTATTGATAGATCAAGTACAATGAACAGGAATAATCATGTTTAATAATTCAATTTACAATTTGATAAACTTTATATAAACTTGTATTTAAAAAGTATTGCTCATGTAACAAATAAATTTGGGACATCTCATACTGATTTACTGTTATGTATTTTTGATGTATATCAACTTTTTTTCGATGTGAACTGAATATAGTCCACCGTTTATAGTTTCCAGTCTAAATCTCCGTGTTAGGATGAGTTTTATTTAAAAGATGATTCAGTGATCATAATTTACATTAGATCAGCTAGAATTTACAATTAACTATTAAATAAATAAGATGGAGAATGGTTTTATATAGTAAACTGAATATTATACAAGTTGTCGAAAATCTATCATTCATAAACTGACATATTGTTGTCAGAAGAGTTATTAAGTTGCTAATTTATGAGTGAGCACAACACGCATATACGCAAACCAGGCATTAGAGGGGTTTACAGGAGATAATTAACTCATCCAGTTAATCAGATAAATGTAAATGGTATCCATAATGAATTGATCTCAGTTGACTCAACATTGAAAACCGGAAATTATTAGGCAACTGTTTCATCCTAGTGCACGATTATGCAGTGTTGTGGACTCACGACCCCACGAGGAAGAGAATCCAAAACCTTTGGGTATCGATGAGAACGCTTAGTCACCAGAACCATTAAGTTAGTGTCCGATGGTAATTAATTATAGGCAAATTAAAAAGTACTTAATAAACATGGAAAACCAGGAGAAGTATTTTACTATCTGCAAATTCCTAGTTGAATGTACCTTCATCTTAGTGTCGTTGAGGTTTATATACTGAGACTCAAGCTCAGCGTCTAATGCTTTAGTAACCAATAATTTATCCATTACCAACAATCCGGAAATATGTATTTCGCTTATAGCTACAAGCTATATCGCGGCTTCTCGAAAAGTTCATATTGCAAGCATGATTCTCGATTTTGTAATTTTCTCAATGTTAAGTTCACCCTGTTATACTCGTTGTACAATGTAGATAATTTTATCAACATAACTATATTTTTGTTCCTGTTGGTTTTTGAAAAAATGCCCGTTGTGCCAATTTTGTAGATTACCATGAGTCTTAAGCGATCCGTTTTAGGATACTGGTGGAAACAGCTGAAAATGATTATTTATGAAAGAACACAGCTTATCTGAATGAACGGATATTCTATTAAAAGCGTCGAGAAATCAAACATTTCGAGATCGGCCACCTTGGCACAAAATCATTGCTTTTCAAAGAAACATCAAATTCTTTGCTACCTAGAATGCAACACAAACATTTCTACAACATAATACAAAGTTACACAACAAAGATTTTCTTTACATGACTGACAAGAAATCTTCGCAACTTGATGATAAACAGTCACTGACTGAATTTTACAACTACTATGATAATGAAGCCTAAAATGTGTGATTCAATCTAACTATAAGTCATCAGTATCCCAGTGAAGTGGATTCAAGTGGGCGATTCAATCCAAAAGAATTACGAGCTTCACCCTAGGTGAATTATTAGATACGAAGCTTGGCTTTTTATCAAAGAAAAATTTTTTCGTAAAAAATTGCTTAAATGCATTTCTAAGTGGAGTGGAATTTTTAGTATTGAGTCGTTTCTGACTGTCAAGCACATTTTTAAACAAGGATATCGTCTAGATATATTTGGCTGAAGTTGAAAATATAAACTATTGTGATCAAATTAGGTGTTCTAAAGACAGAGAACTTGTTGTACGATCTCTGTCTTATATTCGGTCTCTGACAGTCATAGATGTATAGAGTTGAGTTTCATACTGTGATGAAACAGCCACTCAAGGCTCTTTTATTTTCAAAGGTTTTATACCCAATGTTTGTACATAATGTAAGCTATCTTCAGATTTAACAATCTTAGCAGTTATCACATTTTAATATATATAACTATTAATGATGCATCAATCGCTGTGAAATATAAAAATCCACTAGAATGCACTGATATAAGATTAGAACATAGTTTCGTATCCTAATAATGATGTTATTGTTGTTCCGTTTTCAATCAAAACAACTGTTCATCACAAACTATTAAGCTTTCTAGTGTTTGTGCCAAAATAATTATGACAAACAAGTGTTCAACTACATTTTGGTCACTGTAGCCCACTGATTTTTCGGAATCTTGTACAGACTTGAATTTGGTCATTAAAATGATTAAAAAAACTGGAGAAGTCTGATGAGTTGGTGTCTATCACTTTTTTATAAAAAGTTAAGTTATTGTGTAACACTTAGTATGGGGGCTTTGTGAAGATTATTGTGTCTTAAAGTTTTATACCAAAGAATAACCTTAGCTAAGCAACCACTGAAAACCGGGGAGCAAAGGAGAGCTACGTCGTCCTAGCATATGACTCGCTAAGACTATCTTCAAAAAATTCACTAACCACTCATTTTGCAATGATCAGTAAGAAAGATTAAGTCAGCGTTAGAATAGATAGAAATAAAATGAGATAATTATTGCATTGAAAGAAAATAAAACGTTTCAGTTGTATATTGATAATTCACATTGTCCAGCTAAGTTCAAGTTGTAATGTAATACAATTAACAGTCGCTTGTATTAGAAATCAATTTGTCGCTTTTTTGACATCGTTCGACACTACGCCAAAGATAGATCTTCGTGGGAGCTTTGAGAATCTGTTTACTGACTGTAGTCAGCTGGATTCCACTTTCAATGATCTAAAGTTATCATACTCGCGCCCGACCTGAATGCCGTAAATTTGGTCTTATGAACTAGGTTGTGTGTGTGCACTATTAAAAATCAGCAAAATACGATGACCTACATATTCAGTACTCACCGATTTTCAGTGATTATCCAAACAAGTCTATTTTCTTTGTTAATGCTATATGTTCAACTTTATGTACAAACAATAATAAATAATGATAATTCACTTTTCATTCAAACTTTTATGTTCTTGGCTTTATGTAATACTTTTTTCATGTAAGAGCCAGTTATTTCACTCGGCTGCTGTAA